GGACAGAAGAACACAGTGCCCATCCTTGTGGACAGAGCGGCCCGGCCGTATCTGGGGCCTGGTTGAACTTTTGAGATTCAACAATTATTGCAAATAACTGATGAGGCTTCTCTCGAGGCCTACCTTCCTCAAGGACCCAGGAGAAAACCTGCCTTTCTGAAACCTGCTGTCAGCTTTTATGGGGGCGGGGGGGAGCCCCGTCAGGGCCGAGCGGGGCTGGATGAGCTGAGGGTGAGGGCGGGGGCGGGGTTCACCAGGGCGGCAGGAAGCTCAGCAGTGGGAGGGCCGTTCTTCATTACGATCCATCTTGATTACAGTCCCCAGCATCTTGTTTTCCTTGTTTCACTACCCTGAACAGCCCCTCAGCGTGCACTGATTAATTGATTAATAAATCAAGAGGCCTCTTTACCCAGCAGCAGCAAGGAGTGGCTCCGGAGGTAGAAACTCGAGACAGTCATATGAAACAATGGGGAGCAAGAGGAGGTCAAGGTCGATCAGGTCCGGCTGACAAAGTGACGCAGACCAAGGAGACCTGCCCGTGGGGTCCGTCTCAATGCCCGTGTTCTGCCCACAGTCTCAAAGGGCAACTCAGAGCACGTGGGGCCCACAGGGGCCCTTCTGGACCATCCCAGAGCAGACTGTCTCCTCCGCTCCCAGATGAGCTCACTGACCTCCAAAGGGTCCAGAGCTTGGACAACACCCAGACCTCTTGGCCACGCGTCCACAACATTTCCCTGCAAGAGCCCAAGAGCGGAATTCATCAACGGACTCATATTCTTTACACCAACATCTCAGGTTTTCTCCCCATTCATCTGGGAAATGGTCATTTGTTCAAAAGGAATTTATTTGGGCCCCCAGATGGGTCGAGAAATAGCCTCTTGCTTTTCTTGACATAACATTACATAATGACAATTTTCCCGTATCAGCAAATGTCATTTGGAAATGTGGTTTTTAATGACCACGTGGTGTTTATCCTTCAGGTGTTTCATAACTCATTTATTCACTTCCACCTTCCACCATCGTGGTGGGAGAAATCGGAGACGGCGGTGGCAGGAATCAGAGACCACCATTCAAAACCAATCCGCAACCCACGGCTTCTGCTATCAGGCACCCACTGGGTTCGAGAAGCCTCTGATTGCTCACTTAGAATGCTTGTGACCCAGTCACGGGCAGTAGTGTCACAGGAAGGAGGCAGACACACGACCAGGGCCATCCGCACGTGGCAGTTGATTTTAGGTCCTTGTGGAGGCTGCACCGACTCGGGCATCTGCAACTGGATGGCACATCGGCTCTACAGAACCGCCATGAGCCTGTTCTCTCTTCTTCTTGGTTTCGACTACTCTCCCTGGAGGCGGTGCCTTCTTTGCTCCATGTACCGCCCTTTGCTGCGCAACTTCTAACAACTAACAAGTAACACATGTCAGCCACCTAACGAGCCAGGCCCTGCAGCATGCGTGGGAATGGTTTCTGTCCTGATTCACAGTCAAGGGCACTTCTTGGTGCCTGGACTACCTAATGCCATGTCCCTGTGCTGCCACCTCTAGCTCTAGTCCAGACCAATCAACACACACACACATGCACACACGCAGCTCAGTGCCCCACTCCTGGCTCCCAAGACATCAACAACGCAGCTGACCACCAGTCTGAGCAACATGGCCACAGCCAGCCACGAGCCCGCTGTCGCCTTATCCAGGGCAAAGCTGAAATGGGCCCTTTAATGAGCAACTGCCCCCTGATGTCCAAGAGGAGTTCCTACGTGACGCAGCCCTGATCTGGAGCCTGTGGGAGTTCTTATCATCAAAAGGCCTCCGTAAGGCAAGAGATCCATCCTGGGGGAACTAAAACCCCTTTCAAGGGCTTGTCCACAAGTTATAAATATTTAGTGCAACTCAAACCTTCAAAGACAAACGGCCCACAGGCACAGCCTTCTGCACGTGCTGGAATAGAGGAGAGCGCTGCGAGGCAGAGCTTCTGGTAATAGCAGGAAGGAAAGAGAACAGGAGCCTTCAGAACCGTGGGTGACTCACACATGCTAAGCTTCCCTGACGCAGATGCCAGCAGGACGCCGCGGCCCCAGTGGCCCCGCAGACGAAGAGAAGAGCAGCACTGACCAGCTGACACCCAGGCACCTGGGCCGCAGGGGGAATGAATCAGGCACCAGAATCGCATGCTACCCAGCTTGAGGCCTTCAGAGACATTCATGTTGTCTGTGCTGATTCATCCTGTGACGTCAGGAAAGACGCAAGTAGGAACGGCGGGAAGCCAGGCACACGCGGAACCTCTTACTTTTTAAAGGGTTTTTTAAAAATTGATTTTAAGAGAGAAAGGGAGAGAGATGAAAAGAGAGATACATCGATGTGAAAACAAAACATCCATCGGCTGCCTCCTACACACCCCCTACTGGGGACTGAACATGCAACCTGGGCATGTGCCCTGACCGGGAATCGAACCGTCCCCTTTCGGTGCACGGGACAACACCCAACCAACTGAGCCACACCAGCCAGGGAGACCCTTGGCTTTTAAAGTCCCGCTTCTCATTTCTGCATGTATGACAATGGGCCATTGGGGTACCTGGGCAACGTGGTCATCCTAAACGTTCAAGGTTAAGGTTCTGTGCTCAACACACTCTCATCTTTCAAAACTAACACAAAATTATGTTTATCCCCCATCTGCCAGGAAGAGGAATTCAAGAAAACACGTCACCGATTAGAAAACTGGAGAAGTTCCTCAGAAGGAACGTGGGATGAAGTTAACGCTCGGGCACCTCAGTCTCCCTGAGCAGTGGCGGCCACAGAGAACAAAGCATATGTCCCTGATGGTTTCTGGTCCCTTGCTTCCTTTAGGGGCACTTCAGGGAAGGGGCACTGCCAGGCTCTGAAGCCTCTTGTTGTCTAACGGCCGTCATCGGTTAACTCATGTCCTGGGAAGACTCGATCTAAGAGATGCTGTGAAATCTCTCTCTCCTCTCGCAGGCATCCAAGGCCATGCCCGTGGACTGGGAGTTCTCCATCTCCATCCCTGCCCGACCTTCTCCTCAACTCTGACCTTATACCCCAGACCCCTGGGAAAACATCACCAGGTGAACACCCTTCTACTTGACAAGTCAGAATTAACTGTAGTTGCCCCTAAACCTGTCTTTACTCCAACAGTGAGGAGTGAAGTGAATATTGTAGTTATCCACTCTGGCATCCAGGATGGAAGTCTGAAACCTCCCACGTCCAACCCTTTTCTCTTCCATCCGTCGCCGAACGTGGAGATGGTACTTCCCAAGGCCGGAGCTGACCCTGTAATCACGCCCCCGGCCATGCTGGTGCCTTCAGCACTTCTAACATCTCCACCACCTCCCACCATCACGCTAGCCTTGACTTTGCCGCCCACCTCCAAACAATCCTGTAAGATAAAAGGCTAATATGCAAATTGACCAAACAGCAGAACAACCAGTCGCTATGATGCACACTGACCACCAGGGGGCAGGCGCTCAATGCAGGAGCTGCCCCCCGATGGCCAGTGTGCTCCCACAGGGGGACTGTCCCTCAGCCAGAAGTTGGGCTCACGTCTGACAAGCGCAGCGGTGATGGCAGGAGCCTCTGCCACCCCCAAGGCAGCACTAAGGATGTCCAACTGATGGACATCCCCCAAGGGCTCCCGGACTGCGAGAGGGCACAGGCTTGGCTGAGGGACCCCCCACACGCACACACACCAGTGCACGAATTTTGTGCACTGGGCCTCTAGTTATCTTAATAACATAGAAACAGTGAAAGTGGAAGTTTGCAAAACAATGGATGGCAAACCCCAAGTGAATCTGAACCAAGAATACAAACACTCATTCATAACCATTCAAATATTTGGATTTGGCTTTTTATGAAGATGGCTCCGACACCTAAGAGGGAGGCCCCTGCCCCTCCCAAAGCAGGAGCCAAAGCAAAGTCTTTGAAGGCAAACAAAGTGCAGAAAGGCGTCCACAGCCACAAAGAAAAGACCCACACGTCACCCACCTTCAATGGCCAAAGACATTGAGGCTCTGAAGGCCACCTGACTATCCTCAGAAGAGCGCCCCCAGGAGAAACAAGCTTACCCCCATCAAATCTCCCCGACCACTGCGTCAGCCATGGAGAAGCTGGAAGACAGCAATACAGAAAAGACCCACACGTCACCCACCTTTGACAGCCAAAGACACTGAGGCTCTGAAGACCAACGGAATATCCTCAGAAGAGCGCCCCCAGGAGAAACAAGCTTGCCCGCCGTGCCCCCATCAAATCCCCCCGACCACCGCGTCAGCCACGGAGAAGCTAGAAGACAGCAATACGCTGTGTTCACTGGATGTCAAAGCCAACAGGCACCAGGTCGGACAGGCTGTAAAGAAGCTCTATGACATTGACGCGGCCAAGGTCAGCACCCTGGTCAGGCCTGACGGCCAGAAGAAGGCCTGTGTTCGACCGGCTCCTGACGCTGCAGCTTCCGATGTTGCCAACACAATCGGATCCTCTAACCTGAGTCCAGCTGCCTAATGCTACACAGAAACATTTTACACTGAAAAAATTCTTATGACAACCAGGGGGGTGGCAGCAACTCACCAGGCCCTGACCTCACAGACCTGCCTCGTTAACACAGAACTTCCCTGGAAACTTCCTCTGAACCCCCGGGTCCGCATGATCACTAGCCTGCTCCGTGGGCCCCAAGCACTCACTCAGCAACACGGATCACACACACACCGGATCTGAGCGGGTGAAAGGATGGATGTAAAGACGAGCTGGGTAATGAGGTCAGAGAGACCAAAACCCGTCGCAGGAAGAGATGTTACATGTCAGACCAGAGCTGTTCTACACCAGAAGCCAAATTAACCCGGAATGTAGTGACGGTGCCCGGCCTACACAATTCTGCTCGGATTCAAGCAGAAACGGAGCCTGTTAAAGACGCCAGGGAGGTTGGGGTTTGAGCGACGGGGCCCACACGGGAGACCGTGGGAGCCAGAGGCGGGTGGGATGCCAGGAACGGCCGGACTGCCACTGCCACGCGTGAAAAGTGTCGCAGATGATAAGACTTATCTGCTTCAAAGGAAAAGGGTTGGGGTTTTTTTTATTAGAACTTAAGATGATTAAGAACAGTTCATGAATTACTCGAAAGAACAAGCGAGGGGTTTCTTATCACGACCACAGAAAAAGTATTTTTATGTCTAAGTCTCCTCTTTTCCAACTGCATAACATGGACGGTGTCTCTTGATTCTTCTGAAGACTGCTGGTTAAGGATATGGGCAGTTCGAGTCCCTCCTGGGTCATGTAGGAGCTGTGCGACCAGGAGCTATATTTTAAAAACCTATCCCAGCTTCAGTCTCCTTAGGTGTAAAATTAGAAATGGACAACAGCCCCTATATCAGGGGTCCTCAAACTTTTTAAACAGGGGGCCAGTTCACTGTCCCTCAGACCATTGGAGGGCCAGACTATAGTTTAAAAAATAAAACTATGGGCAAATTCCTATGTACACTGCACATATCTTATTTTGAAGTAAAAAAACAAAATGGGAACAAATACAATATTTGTATTTGCATGTGGCCCGCGGGCCGTAGTTTGAGGACCCCTGCCCTATATCGTGTTAAGCAAGGATTAAATGTGTTAAAACATGTGACATGTTTAGCATCATCCTGGTTCTAATAAATGTGACATAAATGGTAAGCAATCATTATCAACTAGAGGCCCGATGCATGAAATTTGTGCAAGGGGCTCAGCGCTCGCAGCCCCGCCTGCCTCAGCCGGCCCTCACAGCCCTGGCTTCATCCGGAAGGTCATCCAGAAAGACGTCCAGAAGGTCGTTCAGCTGTCCAGTCTAATTAACATATTATGTTTTTCCTATTATAGATATTATACTTCTCAGTATGTGATACAGCACCTTGTATATAGAGCTATGGCGCCACCGATGATGATGACGATGACAGCGATGAGGATTTTAGTCACTGTGTTGGTGTGAGGCTATTAAGCAGCCTGTTATCCGGGAGGACTTAACAAACACTTTGGGAATTAAGAGCGACTTAGAACTGATCTTTGGTTAACCACCTCCTGCATTAGGGTAAGTCAGGGTCTTCTTAAAAGAAACCCAAATAAGAATGGGTCCCGGGATTCCTGAGCTGGGACTGGATGGCTCCTCGCCTTCTTCTCGAGGTTAAGAGTAGTTCGTTTCCATGGATCTGAGTGTCCATGCGATGCTTCTCAACTGGAAAATATTCGTAGTTTCTCCGTTTGGAGTACATAATACTCCTAAGAGCCTCTGTGGGAT